CCTGGAGGAGCCTTTTTCACTTCTTTCCTTCCCGTGGATCCGGCTAAAAGTCAATTGTACATAGATTGAAGAGAATTTTTTTCCTTCTCTCCCGTTGGAAAGATTCAGCGCTCACCAAGCGAAGGAGTAGTTAAGTCAAGGGATCCAAGCTAGCTTCCCTCCCATACGTAGCGTGCTGTGATTTGATTATCTGCAGACGGGAAGGGCTGTAAGTCATCGTCGCCGTTCATCGTTTTATTGGACAAGCTGGGCCAACTTTCTCTCTCTCTCTCTCATCGTCATCTTCTTTTTTTTGTCTTCCTCTTGCAAGGCTTGTGGTTGTTTTTTCTTGTTGTTTCTTTTTTCTTGTTGCCCAAGAAAGGCCATCTCTTCCCCTTCACAACTCCGCATTTCACCTTTTATATATACGCATTTTCCTCGTCCTTGCAAACCGCGCCCGTTCGACAGGTCAAGAAGAGTCAAGGAAAAATAGAGAGAAAAGAAAAAGAAAGACACTTTTCAACGATGGTGTGAACTTAGGTGGTGTGTGTGTGTCCGTTTGTGTGTGTGTGTGCCCGTTGTCCGTTGTTTTCAACTACTTTCGCCTCCTCATCTTCTCCAGCCCTTACAAAAACGTCCGCCTCTCCCCTAGCGACGAGGGAAAAAGAGAAGAAAAAGCCATGCTACGGGAGAAAACATCATCATCCTCTGTCACAACGCTCGTCACGCCTACAAAGACTGCCAGGGAGAAGGGATGGCTTCGTAACCGCCGGCAGACTGACCCCTTGATCAGGGAGCCCGTCCAGCTGCCCCAGCGTCGACCGAGCAGACACTCCATCGACGCTGCGAATGCGAACGCCAACGCCGGCCGTAACTCACAGCAGCCCAGCAGCTCGTCGCCGCTCAGTTCAGAGAGCTTCTCCAACCCGGCGCTGGCGTCCTTTTCGCCCAGGAAGATCAATATCCATACTCCTTCGCGGCCATCGCAGCATCAACAGTTTCATCACAGCAACAGTTCATCTACCAACGCCTCACCTACGCCCTCTCACCATCCACACCAGCTATTCTATACTCCCACGCCTCTTAGACAAGAAGACCAAGACCAGTGCTCCCAGACACCGTCTCGGCTCGCTGAAGAACCGCCGCCTCCTTCCAGCAGCCCGAATATCCGCCATATCACCACTTCTTTCATCAACACCAACACCAGTCTCACCAGCCCCGTCTCCCCAGAGAGCAACAGCTTCCACTTCACGCCAAGGGAACCCAAGTCGCCCCAATATAAGCGTGCTCCCGCCTCTCGCAGCAGTCTGGGCATAGAGACGGCTTCAGGACCACCCCCGGCCCTGAGTACGCAGCAACGAAGCGTTGCGCAAGAAAAACAGTGGCAGCTCGTCTCAACCGCTGACCCGCCTTTGACGCGCAGGCCTACTTCGGACTCAACCTCTGCATCCGCCTCTGCATCGCTGGATTCGGATCCAAAGTCAACATATTCAAGTGCTGGTACAAGTACATGTCTGGATATGATTCCGCGCAAGGAGGGCGCCAGCACGGCCACCAGAGACCGGAGCCTGCGCTCTTCCATTTCCATGGAGGACAATAGGGATGCGCATCATGGTGGCAGCAGTAGAGAGTCGCCTCGTGGATCCAAGGCCGAGGACCTCTTTTTGAACATAGCGCAAAGTTCAAGTCGGCAAAACGCTGATTCCAAGGCTAGGCGTAGGGTAGGTTTACATACACACACATACTTCATTTCCTGAGAAATGCGCATGGCAAATATACTAACATGGTAAACAGTCTAAATTTGGTCTTTCCGGACTATCTTCACGATCAAAGACGACGGAAGAAACCCCTTCACCAGATAGAGGTCACTATTCATCGTTTTCTCAGGATGCCTCTCCGATGAATTATGATATTTCTACCAGAGCTCCTGCGTCAGCTCACCCATTAGATGAAGCTGGACGTTCACGGTTCTTCAGCAGTTCGGGCTCCTCAACCATTGGGCGTACCAGGCCCGGACGCTTGAATTATGAACTATCCCCTGAACCTCCACGACACTATATACCTGATAGACGCGATTCTGTCCCAGAGTTTACGCACACCAAGCCTTATAAATCTAGTCTAGCTAGTTCGCGCAAGTCCCGTCCGGTGACAAGTTACGACGCTACAGATCGGAATATAGGAACAGATACAACAAAGTCCAAAAATGAAGGCACAGAGTCAACCCTGTCCACAACCGCTCCGTCTACCGTGTGGGATGAATTAGATGATCTAAAGTCCAGGATTCGAAAATTAGAGCTAACGGGGAAATTGCCTGCTTCGTCTGCTGCCGCCATGTCTTCAATGGCGGGTGAACGGCCCCGCACGGCTACTACAACGGTCACCACCATTTCTTCTTCACCAAAACATAAACAAAAAGCCAGCCCTCCTCCTGTTCCGCCACCGATCCCCATGGACACCGATCCAACGGTCACAGCCAGCCAAGTTCACCCGCTTCTCCACACCGCGCTGGCCAAGGCAAAGCCCGTTCTGAATCACGAAGTCTATCAAGCCCTTGAAGCAACGGCGATGGATGCAATCAATCTGTCTACCGCCTTAACTTCAAACATGCCACATACCAGCAGCATGTCCGTCGTAACCTCCGCCTCAACTCCGGACCGCGCCTTACGACGAAAGGCAGATAGCGTATGTCGAGGTCTTACCGAGCTATGCCTTGCTCTCTCCGAAGATAAACTGAAGCCCATTTCCATCTCAAAATCAAGACCGGGAAGCCGAGACGCTACTACTTCGAAGAACTTTTCAGCAACAAGTGAAGGCGAACCGGGGACATCAACGTTATTATACCGCCGAAGCACCAGCCATGAACCGGAGGACTTCAACTTCAGCCGCCTCCAGTCATCCCTCAACCGCGACCCCAACAGTCGACGAACAAGTGTCCTTAATCTCTCACCTAGCATGACTACTCTAAAAGCACCCCAAGAGGTACCAGACCAATCAAAAACTCATTTAACGACCCCTTCCCATTCGCAACGAGCCAGACGCCGTTCTTCCATACTACGTACCAGACGACAGGAGCAGGAAGAGTATGACAATAAACTACAACCCACGGCCAACAGCTCTCTCCGCCCTATCTCTCGCTCCATGACTGTCACGGAAAACATGCACCCAAGCAGAGACCGCTACCACCGTAACTCCCGCGAATGTACCCCTGAATACAACAGCCTACAACAAGAAAACTCCCCGAACAATCAACATCACACACCTTCATTCCGCACCACAACCACTTCAGCCACAACGTCTCAGTCTGCAATCCCACTCCGTCGAACATTCTTGTCGACAACCAGCAATATACCCACTAGCTCATCCATATCCATACAGCCTGGCTTCCGTCGTTATGCAAACGGTCAGCCAACCATCCGTACCGTTGTTGACGACTACGCCAGCCCTAGGACTAGTACTGGCGGCGTCGAAGAGGACCCCTCTCAGTCTCGGAATACAGGAAGGGCAATCTCACATTTCTCACAACGCCCTCGAACGAATAGTATGGGCACTCGACGGTTTGGTATTGGGCTAAGTACTCGACGAACATTCGATGGTACTACTGAGCGCTAATTCGACTTGGCCGTCATGGACATTCGAATTAGGTGAAAGAAAAATATCACCCGAAGGGAATAGTCGGGTTATTCTTAATATTTTCCGTCTAATTGTCATTGTTTCCTTTGCCTCTGCTTTTTGCACTAATGAGATATCATACCGTTTTGTTTCTTCCATTGTTGTTTTCTCACTGCTTTTGTTCCCCTTTTTGATTCGATTTCTTCTTTTCTTTCCTTGAGCTTCCGCATATTTAGCCCCATTGCATTATCATCATCATCATTGTTTACTTGCTTCATTACTGGGCATATTTACCTGACCGGCGTACATACTCATGCATCCTCTCCTTATGAGCGAGGTGACTATAATACCTCATCCCATACCCCTTTTGGCTGTCCTTCCTCTTCTACTTACCTACCAACCTACCATCTTCATCTCTTGCTGGAATGACGCCAACTCCTCAAAATTCACTATTAATATCCCTTATCCTTTCCCTTCCTTTTACCCTCACGAACCCGCCAACGACCTATGAATGATGTATATACAAGCTATCGCTAACCCTTCACTGCAAAACCACCCTCTAATGGACTCTCTGGGCTTGGTTATATCCAGCATAATTCACCAATTTCCATTTACTTGCATGAGAAAAATTGGAATATTTCATCGTATTCTTTACATTTCTTCCTTTTAGGCCTGTGGAGTTTCAGTTTGGCGTTATCTAATGATTAAATGATTAGCTATGAAGACTGATGACATTTTCATATAGGTATATATATATTATTTATTTTGGCTTGTTAGGTCACTTGGTTGGCGATGTATCTCGAGTATCAAGTTAGTTTGTATGCAACTTCTTGTAGCGAAGGAGTCCGTCTCCCTTCCATGTTTCCGGCACTCTTCATTCCAAACATGAGCGAGCATGTGTTTCTTCCGCTTCATCTCTTCGTCTCTGGACTCCTGGTTGCTTTCCTTCGCTTTATTCTAGCGAGATGGTGGCCGGTGGCCTCTGTATGCCCATCACTTCTTGCACCGTCCAAGAAGACTTGACTCTCTACTCGCCCACCATCTGCATTTCACATGGAAAGGTTTTTCTTTGCCCTCTTCACATCGAGATAGTTTCGAGTCGGATGCCCCGGATTTCTGTAAATTGCAATGCGATGGAGCAGGTGGCATACAACCGGCGAAAGGGTGAAGTAGGAAATACTTCAGTCTGCTTATATATCCTTTGGATTTCTTCCCATATAAAAAGAATCCGTCAAGTTGAAATTTCAGACTATTCCATCGTCCGTCTGGGAATACCCTCGTGGATAGCCACGTCGCGTACTATTAAAGCTCGACGGGAGAGGTCGAGTGCAGTTCCAGCTGGAAGCCTCTCCGTTTCGACTTTTGGCTGGCTCGGGTTCAACGATTATCATCGTGTTTGAGACGCCGTTGCTTCGACGTCGTCGGGTGTCGTTGTGCCTAGTGGAAGGGTCGCTGTTCAACTCTTCCGTTGCGCCGTTCTTCATCAACCAGTAGTCGCGCAGTTTATCCAGGGCCGTCTTGAAGTCGTCTAGAATAACAGCATCACAGAAGCACTTGCAGACAAAAGAAATCTATGAATTTTTTTTTAATTTCACGCATGTTAGTTTCAACTGTTTGGCACGCGTTTATCGAGTTATCTATCTCACCTTCCAGAAGGGATTGAGTCCTGTTGGTAGCGCATCTCGAAACACTCCGAGTACGCTCAGGACATCGACGATGATGAAAACGATAGAGACACACATCGATACCAACATGACTCCAAATCTAGGGCTGTGGCGAACGAGTTCAACGAAGCTAAAGTCGTACTGGGACTTGATTACCCAGAATATATTGCACGTCGTGTATATCCACCAGGGGTCACTAGCAAATGGATCTAGGTCAGCTCATCTCGCCTGCTCGCAGTAGGTGTATATCTACCGGCTTCTCCTTACCGGAAGAGAGGCTCCCACGGCCTGGTCTTCAAGAAGAGCATGTTGATGTTGTTGAAGAAAGCAAAATTCGCATATATCTCGATAATCCAATAGACCTGGGCCAAAATAACCGTTCCAATATAGAACATGGAGACCCGATAGCTCAAAAACGGCTTATTCTTCATCCATGCAATCACATTATGCAGACTCCAAGACATGTTCAGACCGACTGCTGTGACCGAAAGGTACCAGCCATAGACTGGTTCGTGAGCAAACAAAAATGTACCATGGCCCATCCCGAGAATCAACTGCGACAATGTATCCAAGTGTCAGCACCGATCCGTAGCTCCAGCTACCATGAAGGCTAGGAAAGCATACCTCTAGGAGAATGAGCTTGTGGAGTAAAGCTTTCCGTCTCATATTGGCGATGGTGATCGCGATCATAAACAATAGGCCTCCAACCATGAAACCCTGCGCCCATGCTTCCAACACCAGGCCATCTGGGTCAGTTGGGCGACGGACGGAGTCCTCTAGGGCCCCGTCCTGCATCCTGCGCTGCCCGTCTTGCTCGATGTCGACCGGACTCAACCCGACTACGCAGATGTCAACGTCTCTCTCTGGTTGGACTACTATAAGGCCATGCTCTAGAACAAAATATCAACCCTCGCGACATTGGCATTATTATATTGAAGAAGACATGAAGGCCCCGCCTTGTTTGGATAGATAAAGAGAAAAGACAAAGAAAGATATAGAACGAGAGGAGAAATGAAAGACAAAAGGAAGGAAGGTCAGGTATGTATAATTTTTCTTGTATGGCGGAGGATTTACTTCAACGTCAGACCAGGCTGACGGACGGGGGGGCTGTACCAGCTCTATCTATAGCCCTTCTAACCCTCGCAGGGGTGGAGAATCCTGAGTGGCGTACAGATATGCGAATGCCTCGCAAATAATCTTTCCCATATAAGGGCGGGACCGTTGAAGGCGCATGCACCTAAATACTGTTAGTGTTGCCATGTGTTCGCCTCCCGGAAGCATCGACAAGAGAAGCAGGTCGTACCACCGCCTTTCTCGCTTGAAAGATGGCCTTGGGCCTTCGATATATATATTAGAATGATGGACTATCATGCCCTTGCCTATAGCGGACTTCTTTGCCTTCTCTCTTCGTACAGACTACGAACTTGTGATACGTGCCCGCCTTCACAACCCGTTTGAATAATGGACCCCTTTTTCCTTTACCCACCGGGCCGGCAAACGCAACAATACATATAGTACCTTCAAAGATCGTCTCCGCCTGGTTTGGGAAAAGGGAGTTAGGGTGGGTTTCGGTAAACAGTTCAAAAGTCTACTTGTCAGGAGAGTTCAACCACAGGATAGACGTTCAGGCTAAAAAGTCACTATTTGATGGGCGACTGACTTCTCTTAGTTGACGAACGAGCAGGGCACGCCAGGGTCTCAAGTTACATTGTGGGAATGCCTTGCACAGGCGATCGATACCCATTTTTATCTTTGTAGCGCCATTGTTCTATTGGACGGCCCTTCCAGGCGAGGCCCTATGACAAAAGCAATAACCTGTCAATCATTCTGCATGTCATGAAAAGCCATTTCCGAGAAATTTTCGAAATGTTGCGAGTCTTTTCGAAAGCTTCGCAGTGCCTTGTCAGGCAAGTTCCAAGATACATGTCTCAGCTGTCATAACTTAACGTTTCTCACCAAAACCTGACCGGTCGAGTCGGATTATGTTGGTTGACAGGAGTGACTCTCAGGAGCAGGGATACTAATTGTGTTTATACATATATAACATGCAGTCCCCTGGCTAGTGGAGCTAATTCAACTGTCTTTTTTTTTACTGTGATGTATATGTACGTCTGATGTATGCAGGTCCCAGAAGGAGGCAAGACGGACAATTCAGTCATGAATCTCAAGGCCCGCTCGGTATAAAACCCAGGCGTTGTCATCATTCGATTAAGATACATCTATAAACACATGGGTGCAGATCCGGTTCAGTTGAAGATCCCGCCTGATCCGGGGAGTTGAGTTCGCCATTCATATGTATCACATCTGCACACCGAAAATCTACATTGTCGATTGTGATCTGGTTGTCGTTTGCCATATCAGTTAACTACAGTCGCCTGGCGCGTTTCAGGGGCCCACTCGCGACGATGTTGGAGCCAACAGCCCCACGACATACAACAGGAGTGCATACACGGAGTGCTCGATGGGAAATACGGGGGGTGGTTCGGAAGAACGCTCGATATACCAAATGTAGAGAGTACTCTATACCTCGATATTCTCCATCCGGTGTGAAGAAGCCTTTGAGGGACGCACAACATTGACCGCCAAACGACTACCGCTTATCCTATCCTCCGATTGGCCGAAGAAACGAGGAACCCCAACTTTTGAGTTACAGGGGTACGCAAATAGCAGTAACCATTGAATCGAATGGCCGTACTGACATTCTAGTCTCATTTTCATTTCGAACTGCATGAAAATTTAGACTGAAAGCTTAGGGATGTCACGAGTTACGATGTTGCGGAGCTTCCCCAATATTACAGGTTACTGACCTTGAATTTGGCCAGGGAGAGACGAAGCAGGTCCATCAAAAGCAAGGGGTGGTTAGGTTACCATAGCGTAAGTTCTACTTAACAACATGATTCATAATCACACTCCGTATATCGAGATGAACCCTGGGTCTAATCACCCCGCAAGTGCCCGTGGAGACTTTTCACTGCATCCACAACGGATTCGACCAAAGGCCGGTATGTCAGTCCTAGAACCTCTTTTGACCTAGAGTTGTCAAATCTGAGGCGCAACGCTGGGGCAACATCTCCTGGCACAAGAGCCTCGCCAGATGGCATTTTATCCTTCAGCTCGGGGAACTTCTCGGAAATTATACCGACAATATCCACGTTGCTATATGTGCCGGCCGTAAGGAAGAATCGCTTGTTTGCTGCTTCCGGCTTCTCCGCAGCGAGAACATGAGCAAGGGCAACATCGCGGACATCCACCCAGAGAGAAGTCCCAGTGGGTGGGCAGCTGTCCTTTCCTTTGCCAGTGATCAGATCACTAATACGCTCGTTCGATGTGTTGATTGAGTCCAAGGAGGCCAGGTAATGAACACAAGGGCCAAGGACGAGGGGTGGATTGCACTAAATATGAAATGATGAATATGTAATTTCTCTTTGTCGAAGATAAAGGGAAGGTGATTTCACATACCGTTGCAAGGGTAAAGTTTGGTTTTTCCTTTTCAACGAACTCCCATGCTGCTTTTTCCAGAAATTAACCATCATATTAGTTTTGGTTCCGGGGTATCCTACGCTATGACATCTCAGAGCCCAGACATACCGCGAATGTCTTACTACCACGATATCCAAATACCGGGTTCTTGTCAACTTCGTCTTCCTTGATCGGGTTCCAATCCGCCTGTAATATCACATTAGCTTTGGCTTCTCATACCAACAGTCATTTAAGGTAACAGGGGCTTAGCTCACCTCAGAGTAAACATAGTCACTTGGCTTCGATGGATCAATTATCGCGGCAAATGAAGACGTGACCACAACTCGCTTCACAGACGGAGCACTCTTCTTGATAGCATGGAGAATGCCCGAAGTCCCATTAATTGCTAAAGTCGACAGATAATATTTTCAGCACAGGTATAACCTAGGGTACCAGAAGGCTAAACACCATGGGACTAACATACCCGGGGCAAGAAGTTCCTTTCTGGCATTCGATGTTCTGAAGTGAAAGGGGCTGGCAGTATGGATCACTGCCTCGAAAGGAGGCTCTGAAATAACAGCTTTCTCGAAGGCTAGAAAGTAGCCATTAGCAACGCTTATAATCCCCATGCAGGCAGCTGTAGGAGTATAATACCGTTTGGTTGCGCGATGTCTTCAACGACTACGAAATCCAGTCGGTCTTTTCCGACATGCGGATGGGCACTGAGGATTCTCTGTCCCTTTTCCTGAGACCGAACCGTCGTCACCACGGAATGGCCACGCTCGAGAAGGGTATCAAGAACATGTGCAGCAATAAAGCCGCTTCCGCCTGTTCGATATTAGGACTCCATCATGTTTTACTCGTGGAGAGTGACCTTACCGGTAAGAAGGACGCGAGTCATCGTTTAAATCCTGAGTAGTTAAAGGAGTAACCGAGTTGATACAGATAGCCGTTCTCTCAACAAGGACGTTAGATGTTTATATAGATGGCCACGGAGTTAGCTCTTAGCCTCGAGATGGTCTCTTAACTCATAACTCCGTCTTGTTCGTTGCATCGCGGGGATTCTTGTTCATCCCACTTAAGTGGGGAAATTGGGATAAACATATAACTATACGGGGATATCTTCGGGAATACAACATGAAAGATGCCCAATATAAGCTGATGTCCATGATCAAATGGATTCCAAAATGATGAAACAGTATTTTTCCCGCTTGTCTATCCAGTTTCACACATATACGCTTGAGAAACTCTCTGTATAAATGTTCGGCTATCTGAAAATGGCCTCCACGAATTGATTTATAAGCAGGTTCAAGTTAAATATGAATACGATATATAAAGCCCAAGAGAATGATAACAGCTGGAGTTAAGGTACTATACCGCTTTGCATCTGAAGAGTCATCTTCGGCCGCAGTCAGCGTTACGAGGCAGTTGCGCTGAAATTTTGGCAAGATGACGAACTTTGCAATCAAGATAGTCTCCGACACAGTGTGTCCGGTCAGTTTCACATGCCACCTACCAATATATACTAAGCTGACGGTAGGATAGTGGTGCTACGTGGGTAAGAAACGCCTTGAAAAAGGCATTAGCCTGTACAAAGCAGCACATCCTGATTCAAAGGATACTTTCAGCATCTCTTGGTTCCCATACTATCTCAACCCTCATGCTCCAGAGGTTGGCGTGGACAAGACAGAATATCTAAACACTCGTTTTGGTGCTGAACGTGTGAAGATGATGCAAGCTCGCCTAGCTCGAGCCGGGCAAGCTGAAGGCATAAATTTTAAGCCTGGTGGACGGACAGGAAACACTCGCGACTCGCATCGATTGATTCAGCTGGGGAAAACCAAGGGTGAAGCCGTGCAGACACGAGTTGTCGAGGAGCTGTTTGCATCGTATTTTGAAAACGAAGGAGACATCACTTCTCGCGATACCCTTACGGCAGCCGGAGTAAAGGCAGGATTAGATAAAAGTGAAGTGGAAGCATGGCTAAAGAGTGATCAAGGTGGGCCCGAGGTTGACGAAGAAGTTGCAGAGGCGAAACGGGCATTCATCTCAGGTGTTCCCAACTTCACTATCCAGGGAAAGTACCAGATAGGAGGAGCAGAGGATCCAGCTACCTTTTTAGAGATGTTTGAGAGGGTGCGAGCGGAAGAGATGTAACTTTCGTCAGAAGAGAGTACCCCCGAGAGAATCCAATATATTAAATCTATATAGAGAGACATTTATACGCTGGTTAATAAGTTATTATACAAATTTGACATTGAAGTAGAAATAGAAAGGGTGCTAGTAGTCACCCGCTGTTACCCATGGATCTTCAAATAGAAGCTGTTGAGCATTGGCTCTATCTTCTGGCATCCACTGTAGCATCTTTCTGATAAAATCCAGGAATAGTTTCTTTTCATCTCCATTTAGCTGTATCTCCCGGGATTCTAAAGTCTGCTGTGGGATTGGATAGGCGTGAGATAGTTTCCAGTTTCCTATTAGGACCCAAATTAAAACAAGGACATAATTGGGGAATGAGAGGATAATAGTATTACCATTTTCGTCCCAGTACTTCTGACTTTCTTTGCTTCTCTTAAGAAACTCAGGGGGTGGAGGCCCCAGAAGAGATATCATTTCAGCAAATCTACGGCCATGATCCAGCTCCCCCATTGGATTAACATTTTCGAAGAGATGGCCTTGCTCGAAGATAGTCCATATCTGCAACATAGTTAGCCAGATATCAAAGGGGTTAAGGTCATCTATAACTACCTACCGTCTGCCCCAGTGCCCATATATCAACTTTGTTATCCCACTCCATGTCTAGCATCACTTCTGGTGCACGATATATACTCGGCTGAATAATACCTCTTTGTTTTGTTTCTACACGTCGAGCCTCACCCATATCCGAAAGAATTGGCAATCCCTGTGTTATTGGCATTTCTCGAGATAGATATATTGTTCGTGAGGACATCTTCTTCCGAGATGTTGGATAATGGAGTTCATCGGACTCAAGTTGTGAGAGGATTGATTGATCGTCTATGCCTAGAAGAACATTATTTGGTTGTATATCTTGAGGTCAAGTTAGCTATAGCTGTGAATACTTATCTAGGTATGATAATGACGTTACCTGTATGGATGATTCCTAACTGGTGAATATAGTCCAGCGCGATAAGAATGTATCGGACGGTTAGCCTAAGCATAGTCGGAGGTAGTGCACCAGTCTCTAAGCGGTGTATGAAATCACTTAGGTCGATGCCAGTGGGCTCATAGAGAATACAGCAGTGAGTTCCATGGGGGCCATCAATGCTAAATGACTCTATCACGCGGCGGACATGAATTTCACCGCCATGTGTATCCTCTATACTCTTCATATAATTCGTTAACTCAACCTCAGGGTTGGGCCGCCTGCTACGAACATTAACCTTTAAGGTTAAGTAGCGGTGTTCCCTTTGAATATGTAAGTATATCAGATAAAGCAAATAATAGGTTCAAGGCAATTGATCAGCATACTGGAGGTCTCGACATAGCCATATTGTTGATGTTGCGCCAAATCCAAGCTTTGTGATAACTTGATGTCTGGATTGAAATATCTCACCGATATGCACGGGGTAGTAGCGTTCAGCAACATAATCACCATATCTCTCCTCCTCTATCCTTTGAGACAAATCTATCTTTTTGAAGCCAGTTGTTGGGAAATGTCGAGGGAGAGATGCGGCAGAAGAAGCCATTAACCTAAGCTGCTGGGAGAAATGGCCGTTTGGATTACTGGAAGGCTGTGCTAGGCCTTTGAAGCAGAGGCGATGACGAGAATAGCGGGAGCGCAACATTTAGTTAGAGATTAACAAAACCCTGTAAACAAGAAGTCGACGGGACGTGGACTTTGAAAACAATGGTGATGGCGTGTTGTCGTTCCTGATGCTGCATTCAAATACACGAAGATGGGACGTGGCTGCCGTGCATAACCTGATTCTTCGGTGGTTCCTTCACCATATAAGCTGTATATAGCGCGCCTACCTAGGGAAAGTAGAGCGACGTATCCCTAGTTTGGCGTTCCGGTGTGTGATCATATGAACGTGTCTCATCAACTTGTTTTGGGGCGATAAGCGTATAACTATCCAGCCTCACGAAGGTAAATAATCTTCTGTCAAATGTAAAATGTAATGCTTAGTCAGCTCCCACCCGTATATGCCTGCAGATTATTCATCCATGTACGTACGCTTATCAAGCTCATCAATACGATCGATTTGGCCGATATATCGCGATCAAACGCTGTAACCAATCATTTTACCACCTTTTGCTGCTGTCATTTGACATCTTCTTCAGATAGAGACAAAGATACATTTATAATAATTCTGAAGGCGGCATATACACGCCCAGGAACGAGTTGAAGTTATCTTGGATATATCAATAGCGTCATATTCCATATTTTAGATATTCAACAACTTGGTTGATGGCTAAACTTGAAGGTTAGTTGGTTATTAACTAGTTAACTACAACGCCACGTGACGCTCTTTATATATATATATATATATATCCCGGAGTGGATTTTACTCACCTTTTCACTTCATGGCCCTCAAACTTGTTCTTTTCACATCAACGGACCGTGATGAAACAACATACCGTGACATATAGAGAATGTACCACCAAGCTTCCAGAGCTTCGGGAGGAACATCTCTCCGGTATTCTGAGTCCCTGAAGATGAGTTCAGACGAATATCCCGGGGATCCGGGGATCCGGGGAGCAGGTCCTGCATGATACATGTGGCCCCAGTTTTATATATATGCATATTCACAAAGTGACTATCAGTATTCTCTATTCGAATTATTATTATTATTATTATTTATGGCCTGTATATACACAGCAGGTATGCTCCAGTTCGTAACGCGTAGTTATCTCATGCTAACTGAAATCAGGGTCTGACATTGAGTGGTGACACTGAAAGTGAGTGCTTGCTTCGGACTAGATGCATAACCTGACTCGCTCTTCCGCAAAGGTGTGTGTAGGGTATAATGACCACTTGTCTATGAAAAATAGAGAAGTTGGGTTAGCAAGAACCCAGAAAAGTTCCAAAAATTATTCTGCTCTACCGGCTACTATGTAGCTACGGCGTCCACGATACCCTTGGGCACGGGCTAAAAGCAGCCCCCTCAGATGTGTAAGATCAGGTCATTGAGTTCGATCAGCCAAGCTGATGATCTCTCGCTAGTTCTTTTCACTTTGGTCTTCATTGGGGGAAACACAAAGTAGAATCATACTTACGAGTCATTAAATGGGACATGAAAGCAAATGGTCATGAACTGTGATTGACTGGGGCCAGATCAACTGCGAGGACAAGACACTGTATATACAGTGTGAAGATACTTGACGGTCATACACGAAATTTCTAGGTTGATAAAGAGAGAAAGAAAAAGAAGAGGGAGAGGGGGGGAAACATGTTTATATAGTTGTATCTAGTAGGTGCTTCTTTCCCTCGTCGTAATTACATGTTTATGGAAGGTTCGCTGAATAGACATAAAACGGACAACCCACGTTGGAATAGCTCCCCTTAGAAGGAGGAATCAAGACGGACCGTGGATTGGAAGGTTATGATGTAAGTGCTTCACACTTGCGAAGGGAGCATATAATCTATACTTTGGCATACCATTAAGCTATCTTAACGCCTTGAGAAGGGCAAAGATGATTCACCAATGCGTTTCTAGGATAGTAACACATAGGTCTAATGGTAGGATTAACTCTATGGTGAGCTAAAGTACATGCGGGAGAGTTAATGAGTTTAGATCGACTTAAGGTAGATGTACAGGGGTCAGGGACCGCTTATGTCCATGAACATGGCCTTGGTGTGGTAGAGCGGCGTAGGAGACGCCCTCTGGTATAGTACAACCCCAAGGCTCAAAAGTCCTTGTCGCTAACTAATGATAGTAGCCCAATTCCACCAGACCGTCCAGTGGACCAGTCAACAACACTGCTGCAAACCTGCCAACAGATGTGAGTACACCTACCATCATTTCCTCTTAATCCAAGAATATATACTTACCAGGGGGTAACAGTCATTTAGAGGCACTCCCATGCTTCTACAAGAGCAATGTCTTCAAGGTGTCTAGCCCCAGGGCGGATAGTCTGATTTGCTCACCTATGGCCTGCCGCGTCATACGCTCCTTATGGATCGATATACGGCTTAAAGAGGCATATGGATGCTGGATGTGTGATAGATCGGTCGAGCTCTACTTTGAAAAGGACCAGTGGACGAAAACTGTCGAGTTCATAAGAGACCAAATGCCGGAGCTGCGGCACCTACATGTCAACTTTTATCGACGGAAGAATAGTATGCGAGCGAGGTATTGCAAACTCCTTTTTGAGGAGAGGGTATACCCGAGCTTGATGAAGATGAGGGAAATGCCTTGTTTCCAGCTGATGTTGAACTTTAACTCGGTGGTTCCAGACAAGGCGCCATTCAAAGTGATATATGTAGCAAAGGAAGGCTACGAAACCGGGGATGAAGTGGTGAATGAGGATGAGGACGATGGAGAGTATGAATGGCTAGATGAAGTCAAGGACCCGGAGGATATAGACGAATGGACGGTATCATTTCACTGATGGCCTCGCGGCCTCTTAATGACTCAAGCATGTTTTAACTGTGTTTGTTGCCTTGGATGTTCTGATCTTGGCTTCCTGGAATATTTACGAGGGCTCCCGAATATGAATCGTTAGCATGAAGGTCTTTTACGTTAAAACCGATATTAATAGCGAGTTCGAGACAAGGCGATTGAAAAGCATGGTTTGTTTTGACTTCTGGTATCGTCAAACCTCATTTATTTTTGTATACTTTTTGTAGTTGCCCATCCAGTATATTTCATACGTTCTCCATCAGTAGAAGCAATTTTTGAGAGGCATAAATAAATACCCATTGGGGCACGGAATGGAAGACAAGAGGCCGTGACGAGAAGAAAAAAATGCGGCATAAGGGGATTTTTTTTTCGGGGAGGAGAGGTGTGAAGGCCAATGGGAAGGGAATGAACGAGGCGGCGTAACATGTAGTGAACACGCTTGGAGAACGCTAGGCCGGGTACATTTGGAAGTAATCAATGCGGAAAGTATGACAGGGGATATAGAAGCGGCAAGGGGCGGCAAAGGAGAGAAGTGTGGGTTTTTTTTTCGGGAGAAATTGTAGAATGAAATGGAGAGAAGAAGGTAATGAAGGGTCCAAAGCCCTTATTTAACATATAAAAGGCATGAAGGGAAGACATTTGAAGACGAAGGGTGAAAAAGAAAGGAGAACGTAAGTGATTGGAGGTAAAAATGGAATGGGAACGAAAGACGGAACGTGAGAAGATGAAGAAGGATACCCCGGGCCAAAGTGTTTCATCGTTTCGCAAGGTCTTAACTCTGGTTCCAGACTGTGTTTCGACGGATAGTAGTTAGGCGGCTTGCAGCAGAGCATCCAGATCGAGGCTGGATTTACTCTGGTTGTTGCTGGCTGCGGCGCATCTTCTCGGCTTCGAGGTTTTCGTAAAGAAGGTAAAGGGCCTTTTCGTTAGCCTGGGCACTGCCCATGATCGTGAACATGCGCTCTCCAGTGTCATCATGGGGAGCCTTAGCGATGGAAATTCGTGCTCCAGAGCTTCGACGGATCTCACTGATCTTGGTACCGCCACGGCCGATGATGCAGCCAACCATGTCAGAAGGAATGCTGATATTTTGAGTCTGAACCTCCTCGCCATCTTCCGTTACGAGTGGAATGCCGCGGTTTGGGTTGTCGTTGTTTCCACGTCTACCATAGCTGCCTGGGTGGTCACTGAAGTCGGCGCCGTTTCCGGTGCGGTTGTACGATCGGCTGTTCCCACCATAGCTAGGGTTGGATCCAGCAGCAGAGGCTTGGCCAGGCCCGGAGCCGACGGAAGCCCGAACGGCTGGGTTGTAGAGAACGGTACCTGTGCCGCGTTGCCAGTCATCGATAAGGCACTTTCCAATCTCCCAGATGGCCTTTTCGATTCCTTCTGGGGTTCCTTGGACTTCGACAATTCGCTCGGTGGACTGAGGTAGCATTTCCTTTTGGGCAACCATGCGGACTCCGGAGGCATCTTGAATATATTTGATCTTCAACCCCTGTCGTCCAATGATGGTGCCCATCTGATTATGCGAGATGAGGAGTCGGACAGCTGTACAGTTAAATAGTTAGTTCCAGCTGTTATTCGGTAAAATAAATCAAGCCAAGAGAAAAAGACATACAGTGCGTGCCATTATTTTGGACCACTCCACCCATCCCCATCTGGGGAGCACCTTCTAGTAGGCTCTTTGCAACGATAGAGTATGCCTTCGAGGTGCCCTGAAGAGGGCCAGTGACTGTGAGAACACGATCATGTACTCCTTGCACAACCTTGCTGACACCAGCCTTTACACCGGTCTCATCACGCAAGTCAGCAACATTCTTCCCCGCTTTCCCAATAATAACACCGGCTTCCTTGGAGGAGACGATGGCGCGTAGAGTCAGCATTGACTGAGCATATTCCTCATCAGTCTTTGGAGGAGCCTCAGCTTCTCCCTGGTCGTTTACACTGACGCGACTGAAGTTCTCCGTAAGATTCTCTTCAGCTGGGCCGGGGCCGGATTCACGCTGTTCTGTGGTAGACATGATTGCTGGTATCTTGCGTCGTCGAGTTATGATATTGAACTATTGAAAAGGTCATGTCTTAGCAGAGAGATGGGAAAAGGAAGGCTTGCTGGCTAGGGTGGTGGATTGTTGTTTGAACTGTGAATATTTAGTAAAACAAAGAGCGGAAACTCACACTAGATGTCTCTTTTTTTTTTTGTATACAACGTTTGCAGAGTGAAAGGGTTCACTTGGGCGCAAAACAATAATAACGCCTGAAGCAGCAGGAGGTCAAACGAGGGCTCTGAAGAAGGCGACGACGGCAGAAGTTGGAGGCGAGTCGTACGGAAGAAGGATCTGTGTGCGTTGCGGCGGACGGTGAGAACGGACCGAGTAAGGTATTGCGGTGGGAGAACTGGAGGCGGGGAGAGAGGGGCGGAGACGGGCTGAAGAGATGGAGGAAAAAGAGAGAGGGAGAGAGAGGAAGAGGTAAAGGGAAGATAGAAGGGATAGGGAGGGCGAGATTCGCGACGGTCGTTTGGATGGGGCTGATCGGTTGGTGAACAAGACAAAAAAAAAGTCGAAGTGTTTGGTCGTCGCTCGCCGTTTTTGGCTACGAACGTATTATGTAAGCACTATCAATACGTTCGTTTGTTTAACTACTACTACTACTACTTTTGTAAGTGTAGAAACGATGATGATTCAAAGAGCAGTTTGTACAAGTAAAATATACGGTGAATATATTGTACGAGGGTATAGGCTGATAGCATGGGAGTACTCGGAGCCTCTGGACACATCAATGTAGTACTAATATGCAGCTGTTCTCGTGCATATTAACCCTAGGCGCAATCCTAGATCCCCGTAATAAAAACCGTTATGAACCTGTATCCTCCCCTCGTTTTGAGATCAGATAGCATCGACCTGAAGGGCGAGACGACTTCACTTGGAACACCACTTACTTTCATGCTCTTGCACTCACGCAAGAAATGTCTGAAGCAGCCATTCCCCCCACACCTTACGCAGGAGCGGACAAGGCCAGTGAACACGCCGGATAACTATGACCCGCCCTTTCCAGCATACACGGCACGCTTGCCAGAGCACACCAAGGACATAGTGATGGCCATAATAGGCGCCCAATATTCTTCAGCAGCAGAAAATGACGGCGTTGCGATGTCCAAGGTACTGGAATTCATGAAGAATCCATCCGATGCCACGGCACAACCGTCATTCAGGGAGCTAGTATCGGTGACAGACCCAAATGGTTCGTACAATATTGCTGTGATCGCATACTGGCCATGTCGGGAATCATACGAGAGATGGAGCGTTGCCAGCACCTTCACGGACTGGTGGGAAGGACTAGTCGTTGAAGACGAGCACCACGGCTGGTTTTTAGAAGTCTTTTCTCCCACAATAGATCGGTTTGAAACGATAATCTCCGGTAACGAAGTTCCTGAAGGGATAGCCCATATGCGTGAAAGGGTAAGCGGGCCACTCCGAGAACATGTATACTGGGGTAGCATGCGAGACCGGTTGCCTATATCTCAGACAGATGCAATTACTGGCGAATCCATCAATGAAGCTGTCCACCAGGTTGGTGGTAATACGCTGCAACGACGAGTTCGCGTGCCCGGAAAACATAATCTGGCAATCATTCGGTCAGGCCAGGATTGGTCAAATACCCGTCCTGAAGAACGGAAATTATACATCGAGACCATACATCCAGCCTTAGTCATGGGCATGGATTTCCTTCGAGACAAGGGCAGAGATATTGGATGCTATAGTTGCCGACTCATGGACGTCGTGGATACTGATACCTTCAAAGCCGATAAGGATCGCACATTCGGGCTGGCTTATTTTGACGATCTCGGTTCACTAGAGAAATGGAGCAAAGAACACCAGACTCATACTGCCATCTTCGTGGGATTCCTACAGTACGCAAAGAAGCTGGAAAATAACATTTCCTTGCGTTTGTTTCACGAAGTTCTTGTGTTAAAACCCGAGCAGCAGTTCTTCGAGTATCTGGGATGTCATGAGAAAACTGGAATGCTAGCTTCCCTTTCATCCTAAGTTTCGTTGATATATTTTCAGGCACTCTGGAATCTCGTTAAAGAGTTGTTCGTCCGCAGAACACTTCATTCTTAATCGATATAATTTGAACGATAAAAGGATGAATAGTGTGCAAGAGGAAGACATCTAATCCTCAGCGAACGGGTATAGGAGGCGATGTCATAGCTATACGAAGTACTTGACACTCTCGATGTTGTTTTCCTCTTTCGTCCTTTTGGAGGGTACAAGTTAGTTAGTGATTAGTCATTATAATCTAAGCCACTTTAGGACTAGATCTGATTAGTCATGATCTCTATAAAAGAGTTTGGAAGCTGTGGATATTTTTTATAACATAGCATTTTATATTTTATAGCACTTATAGCATTACGTGGACTACAAGATGGTATCAAGGCCTGTTGATAATGCTAAGTGAGTGCTAATCAAACTAACATGCTGGTTTATGATGCACTATATTATTCATCAGCCTTGAAAATCACCTTCTGAACCTGCATCTTGTCGAAAATATCGTATCCCTCGACGGCTTGAGTGAGAGGCATGATCTTGTCCGCCATGAATCTATATTAATGGCCAGTTAGCTATGACTCTTTCATATAATTCAGATTACCTTGATCCTTACCCAAGCAGGTGCTGTTTCTTCTCCAGCATCGCGAGAGCTTCGGGGAAAATCGACCTCACGGGGCATCGTCCCATTTGAATTGTAAGATTCTTTCCATAGGCTTGATTTCCATTCCAGGGGATCTAGAGATATTCGCAGAGTCTTTTTAGCGGTGGATATATAGCGGGATGGCTGATGATGTCTGCACTTACCTCTCCATTGTGAACACCAACACTACTGATCACTCCCCAAGGCCGCAGGAGATCAAAGCCCATCTTGAGAGCCGGGCTTGAGCCTACCACTTCAATCACAAGGTCAGCTCCACGCCCATCAGTCAGCTCTTTGACCCGTTTCTCTAAGCCTTCTCGATCGGTCCGGAAGTTCCAAGGCTCTGCTCCAAGAGACCTGGCAAGGTCCAGGCGTGAGGGCACCGAATCGACAGCCAGCAGGTTTTTGGGCTTATAGTCTTCAGCATTGATAATAGCACAGAGCCCTACGGGGCCACATCCCATTACGACCACCGTTAACTCTGAGATTTGCTCCTTGGTGAAATGCTTAAAGCCATTTTGTGCTGCAAAATATCCAGTTGGGAAGATATCCGCCATTAGCACTATGCAATGTTCATTGATTCCCTCTGGAGCTTTCATTACGGAGCCATCAGCTAGCGGCATGCGTACCTACAATAAGTTAGTGAAGTTAAAAGCGGAATTTATATATCCTCTACGTACATATTCGGCCTGGCCACCGTCTAGGGCTGGACAGCCTAAGAGCAAGCTTTTCACACATCGGGATGAGAAGCCTGATTTGCAATAAAAGCATTCTCCGCTGTCTCGTAATTCAGCCAGTGCCGATTTTATTTCGAAGGAAAACATAATAAACATACCATGATGTAGTAAAAGGGCTAACAATTGTATCTCCAACCTTTACGGTCTTAACATCACTACCGGCCTCGATGACAGTGCCTGTAAATTCATGGCCCATGATAAAGTCGACTCCTGAGGGCTGGTGGCCACGATATACATGAAGCTCGCTATGCGGTGTTAATTAGCTATCATAGTGGTAGGTAGTAGGTAGAATTAACACACCTTCCACATAATGCGGTGTATGAGACCTTGACAATGATATCTTGGGGATCCTGGACCTTTGGGACCGGCCGTTGTTCAAGGACGATCTTACGCGGGCCTTTGAAGACAACAGCGTTCATGGTATCTTTGGTCGCCATTGCTCGTCTCTAAATCACCTGCTTAGCTTTAATTGTTGGGAGCAATCAAGTTATTGTTCTCAGGCTATGGTTGATATGACCCTGGCCGACCTCCTTAGCTCCGCATACAGGGTGGGGAGTACAGAGGGGCGAAATGCCCCCCTCGGCCTGGGGAAAGCTTGCACTGTTGGCCGATGACTACGTAGTCACTTTCGTGCACATGTGTTTTTATAGCGTTATATCTTTACATGGTGTTTATTAGCAACCAAGCATAGTATATTTATTACTGTTGCCTAATGTAAGGAAGAAACAGGAATAAATGTATCGGCCAACTAATTAAAGGGTAGAGACTTTATGGGTGGAGCTTCCAGTGATTATACCGAAGCTAAAGCGAAGATTCCAAACGACGGGCTAGATGACCAACTATCTATGCTTGCGGAGCTAGAGTGTTACTCGTACATAGAGAGTGATAGGTTATATTAGTGAGTTCGATCAGTTTCTCTGGACAAGAGCAAAGGAATAAAAAGAGCAGAGGTAGGTTAGGAACAATAGTTGATTCCTGTACGGAAGACGGAGAGATGGAGCAGGGTCGACAATCCAGTGCCTTGAATGGGAAGAGACAATAAAAGAGGTAAAAAAAGATAGACGCCATAATCCCGATGGAGGAGAGAAATTTCCTGCTCTCTTGTAAGACAGACCTTGTAGAGTAAATGATTCGGCGCCTGATTCCCAGACCACCGCCCTAGCAACGAACTTAAGCAGTTGCCCTCCTAAGTTAGGAGACCAGTTGCATCATGTAGTGAGATAAGGAAAGAGAAGAAAAATAAAGAGAGGAAACACCGTAAATAAAAAACACCACACACCACACACCTTACCCGGATGATATACCCTGTTGAAAACGCCTTCGTCGCAGCTGTAAGGAATCTTAAATCCTGAGATCCGGTTAAAACAAATATCCCAAATATGACCGTCCCCAGCAACATTCGCGTTTGTGTCTCGCCGGGTACCTTCATCATCTCCCCCCCGAGGGTGACGAAAGATACTGGGTCTGATAAACAAGGTGTTGAGCGGAAATAAAAATCGAGAAAAAGGAAGGAAAAGGACCGCCCCAGAAATAGGGGGGAAAAGTACCATCAATAGACGACAGATAAAAGCTCAGCTTCTAGGATGAACTTCCCCTCCTTGTACTTTTCCGATGTTTCATAGGCCTTGTCGTATTTCCAGCCTACGGTTTCCTTGCATTGAGTGCAGTGGATGTCACGAACTACGTGTCTGCCTGTTGTCATATTGCGCTCCTCTGACTCAGAGGCATTGATGTTGACAACATTTTCGAACAAGTAGGCTTTGCCATGTTGACCACGGAAATTCTATATACCTTGTCAGCAATGTAAAAAAAAAAAAGCTCGACCTGGTGCGAGTCAAATGTGTGAAGAAGTAGCCTACCCGGCTGATAATGTCATGGTAGTCCGCAAGATGTGTTTTGCAATGCTTGCAGCCGAATATCTTGTTGGAGTTGATATAGACGTTATATGAGAGCCCCATGATGACGGGGTCGTTCTGACTCTTGTAGTTTGTTGTGCTGATGAAAAATGAGGTATCTCACAGGCGGAAAAAGGCCCTTCTGGAAAGGAGGGGGAGTTGTGTTTCTAGCGAAGAAGAAACTGAACGGCTGGATGTTTGCTTATTGGGGAGGCGCAGCTCGGTATGACAGCCCAACAACCACCTGTAGTAAACGAGAAAGGAGTTATTCGGATCCCAGGGATGTTCCGTCAAGACAAGGCCGCTCCCAAGGGTAGACGAAGACAGGAAGATAAACCACCCTTCTCTCCCTTTCCTTTTGCCTTGGTGTTATTTATATCGGTAGACGTGGCGGTCGTCTGGAGTGTTAAATGTATTCCTTTAGGTCTTTTTAAGGTTTACTGGGACTTCAACCCGTTGCAACCAAGATATCAAGCACTCTCCTCCTTCTTCCTTTCTGAGAGGAAGTCCAAAAGAGCAAACGGCCCTTCTTATGGACTCCCCTGGGGAGGATCGTTGAATTGCAATACCGCCCAAGGGCCGAGAGGTGGAGACGGGTACGACGGGAGAAAGCTGGCGAAGATGCCGGCCTAGACTTCAAGGTAAATATCGGCGGAAGCAAGAGAAGGGCCAGGGAGGTTCGTTGGAGCTTAAGAGAGTTCGGTTTGTGATCGTAGCAAGGGGTAGAAGGACAATATATTAACCCGTATCCGCCTGTTTATTGGTCTTTGGTTTTCTGGTGCAGCGGAAAGCTGGGGGGGGAGAGGAGGGAAGAGGAGGGAGAGGAAGAGACCAGCACCGCAAGGCAGGCCTAAAAGGGTTAACTAGTTAAAAAACGGCCCCAAAGGAGAAGGTTTGAAGAGGTTGCAGCCGGAGCAGACAATAGTTAATTATATGACGGTGAATAAACAACTAACGACGGCCAGCTTTCTTCAGGCTAAAAAGAAAAGGGAAGAAAGAAGAAGAAGAAACAAGACGGAGGAGAGGAAGACAAACGGGGGGAAGGGAGGGAAGAAAGCTCGGTGAAACTCTTCGGGTCACGCCTTTGAACGGCGGCCCTAAAAATAAAAGTTGCCCTTGATAGATGCTATGCACCTGATACTTCAGATAAGAGGAAGCTGAGCCTGTCATGTCTCTCTCTCCGTCTCTCGTCTTCCTCTTCTTCTCTCCATGGTCTTCGTATCTGCGGCGTTGGGCGTTTTTTTTTTTTTTCCTTTTATGGCGGCTTTGCCAATGACGTACATGGGGGAAGCTTCATCTTCTGCTCTCTATAATAAACTACATAGTAACAACCTACGAGTGCCTACAAGAGCCCTACATGGAGCAACAGAGACCCAGAGACAGATAGATAGACAGCTTGACATGACAGATCTTGACCCCGTCAAACTTCTCCTCCACCCCCCCCCCCTTCGTATCGCCAGCCATCCATGTCCCTAGCCGGCATGAACTGTTGTTCTTCTTTTTTTGCTGCTGCCCGAAGCCAAGCCGGTCGTCATCCTCTTATCGATAACTATGTATCTGCAACCAGCTAAGCGGACCCTGAGGACCTTCGTTGTTTTATCTGCTTGCTTCCTATCAAGATTGAAACAAAGAAGAAACGGAAGAAGCAGTCTCCATGAGAGGTCTCTTTTTCTTTTTTTCCGAAACAGCCATGTTCGTTCAAGTCGTAATCTTTTTTAAGCGTTCATCATCATAACAAGGCCACTTCTGCATCGATGAGCGATTTTGAAACATCCCCTAAGGTCTGTAGCGGCCTAGAAAAGCCGTGACGGCCCGAAACCCCCGCTCCCATTCACCATTTTGTAAGTAAGATGGCCATTTAAGCGTATATAATAATAATAATAATAATAATAACATGAGAAGAATAATATAGCTGTTCGTCTGTTGGGGGAGCGAATCGGTGCCGGGGTTTCCCTTCTAACCTGGCCCCTGGCTAGTGATCCAGGCCACCATCGGGGGAGGCATGGTGTATACGCACGCCGAACGGTTCACTACCCTTGATGTTCTCGCTCTATTTCCCGAGATAATAATAAAAAGACGTTGATACCTGTATTTTTGTCCATGGACAGACATCCTGGCAGAAGAAGATGGTTCCA